TTCATCTATTTGCTCGAGCGGGCCCAGTAATGTCTGCATTATGAGACTTGTTGTTACTGTGTTTGGCATATCAAATACGTCATAGGTAGCTTGCCAGGCTTTGCCATGCGGGCAAGATACTCTTGGTATCTTGCTCGGCTCTCCGAGAGGGGTGGAGGAATCCAACCCAGCTCAGCTGGGCTGGCTGCACGCAAGGCAAAGGTCCTACCACTGTGCAACGCCTTCCCAGGCTATGGCAGTAAATTTTCTAGAGAGTAATAGCTCTGAAGTGAAAACCAACCTTGCAGAAAATAGGAACTAAGTCTTGATAAGACCCTCACCTTGCTCCAGCAACACACCCTGACGGGATTGGAAACCTACCCAATTTCTTGAATACCCTTGGACCTCTCCAAGGGTATCACTTAACTTTAGTGATTCAGCCCAGAGAAGACTTCAGAACATTCCAGACCAAGACATGCTGAGAAGATATAAAAGGAAGGTGTGCATATGCTGCCCAAGCCCATGTGCTGCTTGCGCCCACATGGCTGAGTACATGTGGTGCAGAAGCACATGTGTCACCCTCATCACCTCTCTTAAATTGTGTACTTTCATGCTTCCATGTCTAATGCTAAGATGTATAAAGGGGCTCTCTCCAAACTTGTAGTAGTCCCAGTTTTCTCTTAAGCACTTTAATCTCTCTTTCACTCTCTCCTTCTCCTTCCCTTCGAAAACCCTCCAAATAAAATCTGTTTCAATTCGCTGCTCATCTACTCCTGAAATTCTTTTCTGCAAGGTGAGACAAGAACCCAGTAACCCTGGGTCCTAGGGACAGAGGCAGATCAGGAGATAGTGACCATTTTCTCCTCTCTGCTTCACTCAAGTCAGCAGTATAGGGCTCATCAACATCAAAGTGCTGGTGGGGGTGTGGCAAGAAAGGAATCCTCATTCATTGTTGGTGAGAATGTTATCTGGTTAGACCTCTACAGAAAACAATATGGAGATTTTCAAAAAAGGAAGAATGGAGGTCCCATTTGACCCAGCTATCCCACTTCTAAGAATCTACTCCCAAATCACAATAGTATTAATTAGAAAAGATAAATTTATGCCAATGTTTAATGCAGCTCTAGTATAAAATCGGGATATGAAAACAATCCAATGTCCAGTAACAGAAAATTGAAATAAGAATTTGTGGTACATATATATAAAGAAAAACTATATAGCAATTAGAAAAAAAATAAAGTCCTGCATTTTGTGGCAACTTAGTTGAAATTGGAGAATCTTATGTCAAGTAAGTGAGTGTGGAAAGGTAGGACTACAGCTGAATCTTACGAAGACAATGTTCATGAGAAACAGCCTCGTTCCTGATGCCCCATTCGCTCTCATTGGAACGACCATCTCCGAATGCAACAGCTATGTGTACCTAGGTCGAGAAGTCAAATGACAAATGACCTGGCACCAGAGCTGTGCAGGAGGAAGTGAGTGGCTTGGAACGCCTTCAAGAACGTCGAAGAAATAGCTAAGAGGACGAAGAACCTCCAACTCCGGGCACATCTCTTTGATTCCACTGTTCTTCCTGCATTAACATATGCCTCAGAGACCTGGGCCCTATGCAAATAGGATGAGAACGCTATTCAGGTCTCCCAAAGAAGAATAGAAAGAGCTATGCTTGGAATATCACGTTTCACTCAAATGAGAGAAAGAATCCGGAGTTCCGACATCTGTCAAAGATCAAGAATCAGGGACGCTGTCTCATTTGCCAAGGTGTCAAAAATCAGATGGGCTGGTCACCTAATGAGATTTAAAGATGACCGCTGGACTAGAGCTGTTACCGACTGGATTCCACGGGATGTCAAAAGACCGCGTGGCCGCCCACCTACCAGATGGTCAGACTTCTTTGTGAAGATCATGAATGATTGGTTTGAGGCTCTTCATGTTCCCAGAGCAAACAGATGCCATTGGGCTACACTAGCACGCGACAGGGACAAATGGAGACGTTATTGGCACCCGCTCGAGCAAATTGACGACTAACGGGAAGTTAAGTGATTTTTTAAGTGATGTCAAGTATAATGGACATAAGGACAAATAGAGAGAAGCAAATCAAGATATGTTGGGATGGAATGATTAGGTTTACTGGGAATAACACAGGAGCACGGGTTGTGTGTGTTGGGTGGGTGGTCTGGAATACATGGGAGTTATTAAAGTAGGAAACAGTGTATCCCTAAATCATAACTATCAATCATCAAATAATGGGGTGGGGGAAAGGAAGGAGGAATATCCACCAAGGCAACATGACTTGGGCTTGAGGGTCATAGGCGTTTCATTGATGACTGTGTTTAATAGCTTTGTGCATAAATACTACAAATCTGGACACTATTGTAACGCTATTGCCTTCCCTATAATAAAAGTTTGAATACAATGATATTTTCGTTTATTTTCCAAAGAATAAAAATATAATTGGGAAAATATTTGTAAACATGTAATGGATAAATGGCATATAGTATGTGCAAAGTAATCATCTAGAAAGGTGATGAAAAAGAGCAGACATTTTCTGGTAAACTACAGAGATAGAAAATAGAGCATAAAAAGAACTTCATTATTTGCATAGTCAACAAATGCAAACTAAAATCACAATGAGGTATAATCATACACCAATCAGATGACTGATGTAAAACATAGAACTCACAATTTGAAAGTGATGTGACTATAGGGGAAACATATGAAATGAGAAATCTCTAGCAACTCTGGAAGATTTACACAAAACAAGGAGAAAAACAACATGCATATAGCACAAAATCCAGAAATGGAAGTTGCTTCATGCATATATTGTTCCAACACTATACCCACAAGCAGAGTGCCAGCTTCTCTCCACTGTTGTCCCTTCGAACCATTTCTGATATATCTATGTATATATTTCTGATATAAATACGTATATATATATGTATAAGGAAAGTGAAAGGTTTTGTCCATGGAAAAACTCTACACAAAATTTTACAGCATCCTTATGCCTAAGAGCCTAAATGGAAGCAATCCACTTGTTCTTGGGTGTTGGATGGTTAAAAAGATCTTAAAGCTTCCAAATCATGGAATTACTATAAAAAGGGCTGGGTGTTGAAGCAATTATTTTTTGATGATTACACAGAGTATCATGCTGTGTGAAAATGTAAATCTCCGTAGTCTAACTTCTACACGACTCTTCTTAAATTTTCGTGTCATTTTAGGAATTTCACTGTGACTGTCCTCCTGTTTTTCATTGATTTGCTCGAGTGGGCCCAGTAACGTCTCCATTGGAGACTTTGTTGTTACTGTGTTTGGCATATCGAATACATCATGGGTAGCTTGCCAGGCTCTGCCCTGCAGGCGAGATACTCTCGGTAGCTTGCTGGCCTCTCAGAGAGGGGCGGAGGAATCGGATCGGCCATGTTGGCTGCGTGCAATGCAAACGTCCTACCGCTGCAGCCCTTCATTTTAGGAATATTAAAATTAAAATGGAAAAGAAATTATTTGATGCACCAGATAGGGACAGGGAAAGAATCCTGTGGGAGGAGAGTGATTTTATATTAAAAGTAAAAGTTTCCTGAAATGATTAGACTGCTTGTTTCTTGATTGCTGTAGTATGAACCTAATCTTGGGATAGAATCACATAGAAATTGATATACTCATACAAGCTCACATACACATCCATAGAGTAACGAGCAGCAGTTACACCTCAGGAAATGTGATTATATAAAGTATTTACGAATGCATTTTCCTCCTTTCTTTTTGGGGGTGGTGTACCCCCAGAAATGCTTAGGAATTGCTCCTGACTCCATTCAAGAGTCACCCCTTGTGATGCTCGGGGACTAGAAAAGGTGCTGGAGAATGAGCCAGGGTCAGATGTGTTCAAGACAAGTGCCATGCCTACTGTACTGTCACCCCAAAGAGGTAAATATTTCATTAAATCCTTCAGCAAACAGGACACATATCATAAGGAAGCAATTTAAAAATGCATAGTATTTTTCACTACTTAACTGATACTCTCCTCATTAATTTCTTTTCTCAGAGAAAGGCAAGGACCAGGAAACCTTAGATAGGACCAAGGACTGATTTTCCTTTCCTGATAAAAGCAATTCCTTGTTTCAGCCTGAGTCCTTGCCTCCTAAGAAATTGGGCGGTGGAGTGAATCCAGAAAACCCAGATATGTGGGACTTTGTGACTGAGAACTTTACGGTCAATGGGATCAGGAATGGAGATCTTCTGCTTATATTCCCTTGTCCCTGGCAACTCAGAAATAATGCCCAAAAGCCACCCCTAGCTGGAGCAAGAAACTCCATTGGTCACCATCCAGACCACACGTTCTTTTCTGCCAGAAGGCAGCAACATGACACTTTCCATAACCATGCCACCGAACCCTGTGCCAATCTGTTTTACTCGGGGCACCCCAGAAGGTCCAGGTAGGCTGGGTTGGCCCTGTGCCAGACAAACACCCTACCTGCTGTGCTCTCAGTGAGGTGGCCCACTCCAAGAGTACCACATTATATTTGATGGGATTCTAAATAGAAGGCAACCAATCTTAGAGGGAAATATTATATTATTTAGGTTCTGCTTTGGGTCAGGGATTGGAATTCAGGATGGATACACTAGAAACATGGTGGTGGGAAGTGTAATAGTGGTGGAGTTGTTCCTTGAATATTAAATGTAATAAAATATTGTGAAAAATTTTATAATATAAAAAATTAATAAAACAAATTGGGTGGTGTAGATTAATTCCCATGCCAAGTAGAAGTAGACATCAGGTGTGGCTTGGTGGACACCTAGTTGGTCTATGGGATAAGGTCTGTGCTATTCAGGGACTCCTTGCAGACTTTATCAGTCCTAACCTTTTTTCCTAGAAAGCGATGGGTTTGAAAAACACTCTAATCAGTATTGATTATTCCTCTCCAGGAGGGAATGAAAATAAAATTTCCTTAATTGTCGATATTTATTTTGCCATGGATTATAATATGAACCGAACGTATAACTCTTCTACATTTGAAAGTATTATGTTACCTGTGGAATTTGAGAACACAGGTTAACTGATACTTAAAAGATTGGCTAATTTGGTAATGGATAAATGGTTTAAGGAAATTAATTCTAGTTATGAAATTCAACATCACATATTCATAACTAGGGATAAGGTTAACCAGAGAAACTTGGAGGGAGACACTGTGAGACTTGTTGTTACTGTTTTTTTGGCATATAGAATATGCCATGGGGAGCTTGCCAGGATCTGCTGTTAGGGGAACATACTATCGGTAGCTTGCTGGGCTCTCCGAAAGGGACACAGGAATTGAACCCAGGTCACCGCGTGCAAGGCAAATGTCCTACCTCCTGTACTATCGCTCCAGGCCTTTAACTCTAGAATTGTGTAATACTTTTGGCTTTTGTCTACATTAAAATAAATGAAAAATCTTTTAGGGTTTGTTAAAATGAGGGTTATACCCACAAACTTCCTTCTGGTGCCATATAATCTCATCAATATCCATGATCTAGAGTGTCAGAAATAAATCTCCCAGAAGAGAGTAACATAGAACAACATGCCACAGAGATGCCTACAGATCCTGAGCCAGGCTTTCTTAACCAGAGCAACTTGAAGGCGGGGCAGGTGAGTTTCCCACCCTCCCCAACAGAGCTCCGGCAGCCCAAACCGTCTAGAATTAAATCACCTCCGTGTTCATGGCTGATCTCCACAGGATCATACGAGTGAATCTGCTGTATAATCTTATTATGAATTTTAGGATTCCTGGAGTGAATGTGGCAGTGCAACCTTCTATACTCTACACCACTGTTGTACCAAGAGTAGTACACAATATATGATGGGGTTTAAAGTAAAAGTCACCCAATCTCATTTATATATAAATATAAATACATATATACACCATACAAGCTCAAACCTTTAACAAACATGTTAATAATCTCTTATACAAAGGCTTAATGGCTACAGGATGAAATATAACAATCTTTATAAAAACTTTGATCTAAGGAAAGTGTATTGCACCATGTTTAGAGGATTACTGAAAACAAGCAATACAAAATTAATTATTTATGTTCTGCTTTGGGTGCATGGTTAGAAATTTGGGGTGGAAATATTTGGAATATGGTGATGGGAAGGTGCAATGATGGTGGGATTGGTGTTAGAATATTAAATGCAATGAATTATTGTGAACAACTTTATAAAAAAATTAAAAATATTTTAAAAGAAAAACCTATTATGAATTTAGTGTTGTCTTTAAAATTCATTAGTTTCTTATTATTTCAACTTAAAATCATTAATTAAAAAATACCCTCCAAATTTTGGAGAGAAGGACCTCAAGGGAACTTTCAGTAGTTTTTGTTTCACTTCCCTGTGTACAGGAGCTACTGTGGAAAGTGCCACTACTTGTATATGAGCTACAGTAATAATCAGTTTCGTCCTCAGACTTGAGCCCAGAGACAGTCAGGGTCGCTATGTTGCCTGACTTGGAGCCAGAGAAGCGATCAGGGATCCCTGATGGCCACTTATTGACATTATTAATCAGAGTTTTGGGGGCTGTGCCCTCCTGCTGCTGCAACCAGGAGACATAGTTATATCCCCCAATGTCATTGCAATGTCATGTCTTTGTATAAGAGATTATTAACATGTTTGTTAAAGGTTTGAGCTTGTATGGTGTATATATGTATTTATATTTATATATAAATGAGATTGGGTGACTTTTACTTTAAACCCCATCATATATTGTGTACTACTCTTGGTACAACAGTGGTGTAGAGTATAGAAGGTTGCACTGCCACATTCACTCCAGGAATCCTAAAATTCATAATAAGATTATACAGCAGGAGATGGTGACTGTCTGACCCTGAGTCCCAGACACTGAGAGAGGCTGATTGAGAACATTCTGGGCCCAGGTTCCTGAAGAAAGAGAAACAAAACACTGGTGAATTCAGGCTGGTTCTGGATGAACCTGAGGAGTGGAGACAAAGGGTGAATCCAGATGTGCCCAGGTCCCTTTCCAAAACCTCACCTGGGCCCTGACTGAGGAGGCTGAGGAGGAGAAGAGTCCAGGTCATGATGGAGATGCCCAGAGTGCTGCCTGCTGATACCACAACCCTGGGCCTGGCTATCTCTCAGCTCTTATCCCTCCCCTGCCCCAGATTAGGGAGGGGCCTGCATGCAAAACTGCTTCCTGCACCTGCCTCTGTTCACCCCTCACTGGCCTGGCCTTGGACTCCAGATGATTCTGCATTATTTTTAAAAATCATTATTATTTGTGTTTATTTCTCTAGACTTCTTATTTTGGCATTCATTGGGGCATGGAGTGATATTCCCAGTGATACTCTGATAACAGTGCTGGCAGTTCAATGCCTGAGTTGATACATGCTGTGGGCCAAGTACACTGTATAGTGCTGTGGACCATCAGAGCCACCACGGTGGTGCTCTGGGACCCCAAAGCCAAGCAAAGGAGAGTGATGTGGTGCCAGAGATTGAACCAGCAATAGACTACCTTTGCCACCTCTGTGTTTCTCCATAGCATAACTATCAAACAAATTTATTCTTCTTGATATAAATTTTTCTCATACAAACCTTTTGATACCTGATTTGAAGAGGAAAATAAATGTGTTGACATCTAGTGCATTCATGACCATCCCACTCTTCTGGGTTTTCGCTTGTAATGTGCCCTCTCATGGGTGCTCATGTTTCAGGTTCTCTCTAACATTGGCAAAGTTAAGTTACCTTTTCTGTAAACACCTACTCTTGATGGTGGGTTGTTGGAGGTGAGTCTCTCAGGTTTTTACTTGTCACCACCCCAACCACACATGTTTGTGCTGAAGCATCTATAATCTTGAGTCTCAGAAGCAGATTTTGACTCGCAGATTATCCACCCACACATAGCAGGGAGGGAGTCCTTTCTACAAACAAGGGCACATGCCAGAAACAATAGGTTTTGTCTATGTTTCTCTTCAGACCTCTTTGAATTATTCAACTTATAACTTTATTTTATCCTGCTTTGATATTTATCCAGGGTCAAGTCTGAATTGTGTATCCAAACAGTAGGTGTTACATGGTGATAGCAATCAGACAGAGAAACGCAGGTTTGATTTTTCTGCATTTCTATATGTACAGTGCGGTATTTATGAAAAGTTATATTATCCAAGAAACTTTTTCCAATTTGTCTTTTATTTGTGAGTAGGCCACAAGTAATTTTTTTAACCTTATTGGGTGGTTTTCTTATAGATCAATATATTCATAGATATGTGATTCAATTTCTATATGTAAAAGCTTTATGCTTATAAGTCCTCTTTCAGTCACTGTGGATACTATTTCATCTAAATGTTTCTAAGATAATGTTAGATTCTCATCTTGTTCTGCAAATTATGATTAAAGCTTGAGTTCCTTCTTTGTTAGCAGACCATGAACTACAATTCTTATTTTCTCAACCCTAACAGGATGCCAAAATGTGTGCTCAGTCTGTAAGTCTCTTCATCAGTGAATTTTCTCTTTATACAGAATATGCCTATGCCAACTGTCAGTTAGAAATAACGTGCAGATAAAAGTGCCACAAAAATGAAATGCTCAATTTAATGCACTTAGCTGCTTTCTAGAATCATTCTTAGCCTCTCCAAACGATGTCTACTTTGGGAGTTCTACTCAACCTTCAAGCAGTTTTTTCAAGTTTTTGAGCTATTTAGGTTATTAACATTTAAGTACAAGCTTAATGAACTATTTAATAAGCGTTCTTCTCCCCACTCCCAATCCCCCACCCCTGCAAAATATCATGTGGACCATTCAGAGCTTGGAATGCCTGCCTTGCCAGTTTAATCCCTGGTACCTGCACATGTGCTGAGTGTGATCCAGGAAGCTTTGTTATTTCAGATTGTCAGCTCTGCTGTGTGGATTCCCAACTCCGCAAGCTGCTCCCAGCCATAACATAGCCAAGTTATGCTATGTGTGTCAACTCCAAACTTAATGAAGGACAAGCCCAAGGAAGAGTATAAGATGTGTGGTTCCAGGTCAAGAAGCCAGCCTTGAAGAGCAACACTTGGTGCTGAGTAGGCGAAGCTCTGCACCTGATGTTCAGCTCCAGCGAGCAACATAACTCAGTGGAACATCATCACAGTCAATGTTTCTATTCCCCCTTTCCCCCATATTTGTACAACCACCTCTTCAACATCGAATAAGGCAGAGGAGGGGAAAATACACTTCACAGAATTTAAGAAAAAGAAGACTATAATGTCAAGTACATTTACACAATGGAGTACTATGTAGCTGTTAGAAAAGACGAGGTCATGAAATTTACATACAAGTGGTACTACATGGAAAGTATCATGTTAAGCGAAATGAGTCAAAGAGAGGGATAGACATAGAAAGATTGCATTCATCTGGGGAACATAAAGTAACAAAATAGGAGACTAACACGCAAGAATGGCCGAGATTAGTACGAGGAATTTTGCTCCATGGCTTGGAGGCCAGCCACACATGCTAGGGAAAAAGACAGCTCAGATGGAGAAGGGAGCACCAAATAAAGGGTGTTGGGAGGATCCTCCCAGGATGGGAGAAGCATGCTATAGACCAAACATGATTGCCACTCATTGCCTCTTTTGCAAACCACAACACCCAAAAGGAGAGAGAGAACGAAAGAGAATGCCCTGCTACAGAAGTAGGGTGGGATGAGGGGGATGGGGGGGTGAGAGAGGTACTGGGATCCGTGGTGGTGGGAAATGGGCACTGGTGGAGGGATGAGTATTTGATCATTGTATAATTGAAACCCAAGCACAAAAATTTATAAGTCTACAACTGTACCTCATGGTGTCTCACTAATAACAATTTTAAAAAAAGTATCAGTAAGGTCAGAAAACCATTTGCCAGCCCCACCACACACACACATCCCTTGATTCAGGTATAATCTCCGAGAACATACAAACAACAACTATTTTGAATCCTTAAAATGTGGGTCACAGAAGTCAAACAGGGGAGCCAGCCCCATTTGAAGTAACAGTGAACTTCCTGTTTTCCCTTCTGTGTCATTGTAGTCAAGGAAATACATCAGATTTGGGACAGTCCACCCTTATTTCCTTTTAAAAAAATTTTTTTTTTGGTGAGAAGCAGTTCTTGAGACTTTTTTTTAAAGTTTTAGGCATTTTTATTTCTTTTTTTATTATGAATAGTTTTTTTTTTTTTTTTTTTTTTACATTACAGTTCTTGAGACTTTTGAGTTTATTTCCTATAAAGGACAGTAATGATAGCACCAGAAAACAGGCCTTCACTGCCCCCTGGTGAAATCAAATGACATTACCAAAATTCATAGAAGCAGCACAATTGAGCTGATTTCTAAAATTCTTTTTACTTTCTAGCATCCTCTGTACTTCTTGTAGTTTTCCTCTTTATTTTCTCCTAACTCCTTGACTTTGGGTTTTCTATTTTGTTTTGCTTTGAAATAACATCTATCAGTGGTCAGGCTTTTTTTTATATCCTCATTCACTTATAAAAAATAAGAGAAATATTTTAATCCAATCACAGTGAGGTACACAATTACAAAGTTGTTCACGATTGGATTTCAGCTATATAATGTTCCAACACCTGTCTCTTCAGCAGTGTACATTTCCCACCACCAATCTCTCCTCCTCACTCTCCTCTTCCACCTTTTTCTTCTCCTCCTCCTTTTCTCACTCTGGTGCTCAGTGGTGATTTCTGGCTCTATAATCAAGAATCACTTCTGGTGCCATTAGGTTACTTATTTGGGCCCCTTCTGGATTCCTGATGAATGCTTGCCTTACTATTAACTTATCTTTTAACATAGTTTTTGTGGTATCCCATATGAGCTGGTAATTGGTATCTTCATTATTTCTTCCAGGAATCTTCCTCCCCCCAGCTATACCCCCCCCCCACCAGGTCCTTGTTTTGAAACTATTTTTTTCTCTTTCTCTGAGGAATGTTTATTGAGACACTGATTTTGAAAATGTTGTTCATAATAGAGTTATTTCAGATATACAATGTTTCAATACCAATTCTACCACTAATGTCCTCTCTCCCCACCAATATCCACAGGTTCCTTCCTACCCACTTGGCAGGCATTTAACAAATGTATTTCATATCACTTGGTCCAATAAAACCAAGAAATGGTGGGGGTAGAAGTATCAGAAATGAAACAAATAAAAGGAGTTCCCCTTCTTTTCTCCTAACTCCTCTTTCGGTTTTCTATTTTGTTTTGTTTTGGAATCACACCTGGCAGTGCTCAGCGTTTTCTTTTCTTTTTTTTTTTTTTTTGTGGTTGTTGTTTGTTTGTTTAACCTTCATTCACTTTTAAAAATTAAGAAAAAATGTTTTTAATTGAACCACAGTGAGATACACAGTTACCAAGTTGTTCATGATTAGGTTTCAGTCATATAATGTTCCAACACTTGTCTCTTTATCAGTGTACATTTCTCACCACCAATATCTCCTCCTCCTTCTCCTGCTCCTTCTTCTTGTCTTCCTTCTCCTTCTCCTCCTCCTCCTCTTCCTCCTCCTCCTCCTCCTCCTCCTCCTCCTCCTCTTCCTTTTCCTTCTCCTCCTTCTCTTCTCATTCAGGTTGGTGGGGGGGGATTTCTGGCTCTATAATCAAGAATTACTTCTGGTGCACTTAGTTTTCTTATTTGGGCCCTTTCTTGTTTCCTGATTGCCTCAGTATGAACTTTTCTTTTAACACAGTTTGTGTGGTATCCCATATTTTCTGGTAATTGGTATCTTCATTATTCTTAGAAGAATCTTCCACTCATCACTCACCCCCAGCCCGCTGAGGTCCTTGTTTTGAAATAGTTTTTTTCTTTTCCCCCCAGGAATGTTTATTGAGACACTGCTTTTGCAAAGATGTTCACAATAGAGTTGTTTCAGATATACAATGTTCCAACACCAATCCCAACACTAATGTCCCCTTCTCTCTACCAATGTCCCCAGGTTCCATCCCACCCACTTGACCTCATATGACAAATTTATTTCATATCAATTGGTCCAATAAAACGAAGAAATGGTGGATAGAAGTATCAGAAAAGAAAACAACAAAAGTCAACTTATGATGATGAGTTGCTAGATGTTTTTAACAGTTCTTAATCTAATAGAGGACAGCCAGATGAAGCAATCGTGACTGCCATGGCCACATGATGGGAAGTTCTCCTGCCCTTTATAGGAGTTTTTAAAAACACATCTTACAAAACTGGTTTCAAGGTTACTAATTCCCTTAGCTGTTTTCTGTCCATGAAGTTCTGTATAGTTCCTTCAAATTTGAACAGTAATCTAGCTCCATAGAGTATTCTTGGTGAGGTATTTATTTCATTGAATTTTTATACTATATGCTTCATTTGTAGATCTGCTGTACATTTAATGAATTTCACTTTGAATAAAAGTTTCTTTTTTAATCTTGCTGCATTCAATATTCTTTATCTATATTTGGATTTTGTCATTGGGTATAATATATCCTGGAGTTTTCTTAACTAGGCCTATTTTCACAGTGACCCAGGGGACTTTTGGATCTCGGTGCCTGTAATCATCAACTCTGAGAAATTCTTATCAATTTCCTGAACTAATATTTCTTTACCACATTTGTCTTCCTGTTCCTTATAGACATCAATGATTTTTGTTTTGTTCCTTTTAAACTTATCCCGTAGTTCTCTGGTATGTTGTTAATTTCTCTTCAGAGTATTTTCCAATTTCTGCTGTTTTCTAGTGGTTTCCCCCTTCTTGTCTTGGACCTCCTCAATCTTCTGTTCAGCTTCTATTATTCTGATGTTCAGGCTTCTATTGACTTTTTTTTTCTTATCACCTACCATGTTCTTCACCTCTGTGATTTCTGATTGTAGTTGTTTTCTCATTTTGGCTCTCATACTTTCTTGTGCTTTGCTTTCTACCTGTGCTATCATTTCTTTGAACTCATTGAACATCCTCATCATAAGGTTACTAAAGACACTGTCTGAGGATCTACTGATGTTGTTTATGTATGATTTCATTAATATGAAATGACTAAAATAAGCAAATATAAGCACCATATAAGCACCAATAATGTATTTCTTTGTGTATTTTAGTTTAAGCTAGGAGGGACTTGAGAGGTACTGGTAATGAAATAAGAATTTCAGTAAGGCACATTAAAGAGTTAATGAATAATAGTGCTAACAGATGCTCAAATGTAAATACAATAAAACTATAAAAGGAATAAAAAACATCTTAACTATAAAATATTAAATATAAGATACAAAATAAATGTTTTGAAAGATACAAAACAAGAAATAAAAATATTCTAAATAGTATTTCATAAGTGATTAAATCACTTATAAAATTAATCTATTCTTCAATACATAATAAAATAACACATATAAGCTGAGAGAATTAGAAATAAACAGTAAAAAAGAAATATGAAAAAATATATATTTGGTAAATAAAAAATCATTTAAGATTTCTTTGTTATTTAAACTTTGCATTAACTAAAATTTTTTAAGTAAGATAAAAGTAGCAAAACTTGAATTCAGAATTGTGGCAGTCTGAGGAGGTTGAGAACAGGTTTTAGTCGCACTTCCTTATGAATAACAGCCACTGTGAAAAGTGTTATCACTCCTGTGATAGTAGCAATCAGTAATCAACAGTAATAATCAGTAATAATCAGTCAACAATCAACAGTAATAATCAGTCTCATCCTCAGGCTTAAGCCCAGAGATGGTCAGAGTCGCTGCATTTCCTAACTTGGAGCCAGAGAAGTGATCAGGGATCCCTGATGGCCGCTTATTGACATTATAAATCAGCATTTTGGGGGCTGTGCCCTCCTGCTGCTGGTACCAGGCGACATACTTATATCTCCCAATGTCATTGCTGGTTCCTGTACAGGAGATGGTGACTGTCTGTCCCTGAGTCCCAGACACTGAGGGAGGCTGACTTAGGACATTCTGGGCCCAGGTTCCTGAAGAAAGAGAAAGAAAAGACTGGTGAGTTCAGGCTGGTTCTGGTTGAATCTGAGGAAGGATGACAAAGGGTGAGCCCAGATGTGCCTCACCTGGGCTTTGACTGAGGCGTCCGAGGATGAGAAGAGCCCAGGTCATGATGGAGATGCTCAGAGTGCTGCCTGCTGACACCCCAACTCTGGGCCTGGCTCTCTCCCAGTTCTTATGCCGCCCCTGCCCTAGAGAAGGGAGGGGCCTGCAAGCAAAGCTGCTTCCTGCACCTGCCTCTGCTCATCCCTCTGGCCTGGCCTTTAACTGCCTTACTTTAAAAAAGCATTATCATTAGTTTTTATTTCTCCTTACTTTTCATCATATTTCATAATTCATGGGAGCATGGAGACCACTCCCAGTGATACTATGCTAATTGTGCTGGCACTTGAATTATCTGGGCTGAGTTGTACTGTGGAACAAATATAGTGTATGGTGCTGTGGATAGCCAGGACCACCATGGTGGTGCCCTGGGATCCCAAGGCCAAACCCAGGAGACTGATCTGATTTCAGAGACTGAACCAGCAATAGACTACCTCTGCCACCTCTGTATTTCTGCATGGCATAGCTATCAAACAAATTAATTCTCCTTGATATATAAAATTTTCTCATATGGTAGGGTGTTTGCCTTGCACGCAGCCAACATGGCTGACCTGAGTTCGATTCCTCCTCCCCTCTTGCCTAGACGGCAGAGCCTGGCAAGCCACCCGTGATGTATTTGATATGCCAAACACAGTAACAACAAAATCTCCAATGGAGACGTTACTGGGCCCACTCGAGCAAATCGATGAACAACGGGAGGGCCTTTACAATTTGATACCTGATTTGAACAGTAAAATGAATATGTAACATCGCAAACTTTCATGGATTTCCTATTCTTGTGGGTTTTTGCTTGTAAAGTGACTACCTTGATGATCACTCCATTCTGTGTAACTACAGGAAATGCCCTCTTGTGGGTGCCCATGTTTCAGGTTCTCTCTAACATTGGCAAAGTTAAGTTACCCTTTCGTGTAAACACCTGCTTTTGATGGTTGGTTGTTGGTGGTGAGTCTCTCAGGTACATGCTTGTCACTATCCCAAACACACTTTTTTTTGCTGAGTCATCTGTTGTCCTGAGTCTCAGAAGCTGATTGTCACTCCCAGATTACCATCCACACAAACCAGGGAGGGAACCCTTTCAACAAACAAGATCACCTGCCAAAACAGAGGTTTTCTCTTTGTTTCTCTTCAGATCTCCTTTGAATTATTCAACCTGTAACTTTGTTTTACCCAGCTTTGATATTTAGCCAGAGTCAAGACTGAGTTGTGCATCCCACAGTAGGTATTACATAGAAATAATAATCAGAGACAGAGAAATGTAGGCTTGATTTTTCCGCATTCCTATGTGTACAATGTGGTATTTATGAACTGTCATATTATCCAAGAACCTTACTCAATTTTGTCTTTTATTAGTGACTTTTTATTATGGCCTCAGGCAATTTTTTTCAACCTTCTTGGATGGTTTTCTGCTAGATCAATACATTCATAGATATATGATCAAATTTCTATATGGAAACATTATATGTTTATAAGCCCTCTTTCTGCAACTATCAATAAGATAAAAAAAAAGCCAACAAAATACTACATCCTTCTCTTTATTTCATCTATAGGCTTCAGTCTTTAAGTTTCCTAGTCACTGAATTTGCTCAAGTATATAGGATTTACCTAGGCCACCTGTCAATTAGAAATGACCTGTACTTAAAATTGCCACAAAAATGGATGGCTGAATTCAATGCACTTACCTGCTTTCTACAATCATACTTAGTCTCTCCAAATGATGTCTACTTTAGGAGTTCTACTCTACCTTCAAGCAGCTTTTTCAAGTTTGAAGAATTTTTCTGGTTATTAATATGTAAGTAGAAACTTAATGAATTCTTTAATGAGCTATCTTCCCCTTCCCCATCCCCCACTTCACCTTCCAAAACCCATGACGGCCATTCAGAGCTTGGAATGCCTTCTTGGCCTTTCAATCCTTGGTACCTCCACAGGTGCTGAGTATGATCCAGGAAGCTTTGTTATTTCAGATTGTCAGCTCTGCTCTTTGGATTCTCAACTCTGAAAGTAACTCCCAGCCATAGCATAGCCATGCTTGTGTGAGTGTGTGTGTGTGTGTGTGTGTGTGTATGTCTGTGTGTGTGTGTGTGAACTCCAAACTTAATGGAGTACAATCCATTAAGTTAATAATCCATTAATAATCCATTAAGTTAATTAAGTTAATAATCCATTAATAATCCATTAAGTTAATTAAGTTAATAATCCATTAATAATCCATTAAGTTAATTAAGTTAAGTTAATAATTAACAGTAACAAGATGTGTGGTAACCAGGCCAGGACGGGCAGCCCTGAGGGGCACTTGCTGCTGATTGGGGAAAGCTCTGCCTTATGCTGTGCGGCTCCAGTGAGCACCATAACTCAGTGGGAAAGCATCACAGTCAATGTTTCTATGCCCTCTGTCCCCCATCATTGTACAACCACTTCTGCAACATTGAATAAGGAAGAGGAGGGGTTGGAGAGCAGCAGTGTGGGGGGGAGGGGTTGGAGGGCAGCAAATGGTGTTCTAACCTCACTGAACACCCTACCCGCTGTGCTATTGCTCCAACCAAATAAGAAAACACTGGCCATAAAGGAAGAAAATGAGGAATGGGTATTTTTAGAGCTCCTCGTCTTTCTCCAATACCCAAAATTTGGAGTACACATTCTTCCCCAATAAACATGGGCTATTCTCCAAGAGTTGGACAGCGGGTAGGGCGTTTATCTTGCATGCCGTGGACCTGTTTTTGATTCCTGCGTTCCTTTTGGAGATCTTATCAAGCTACCAAGAGTATCCTGCCCCAAGGCAAAGCCTGACAAGCTATCCATGGCATACTCGATAAGCCAAAAACAATAACAAGTTTCACGACGGAGACGTTACTGGTGCCAACTCAAGCAAATCTATGAACAAATCTATGAACACAGTGCGATTGTACTCCAGTTTTCTTATTTGGATTTTGTCTGGCTGATCTATCAAGCAGTGGGAGAGTAGTTTTGAAATCTATTACACTGTTTCATTGCTGTTAGCATCTTTTTTCAGGTCTATACAGGTTGCTCTAAATATCTTGATGACCAATCATGAAGTAAAAGTATGTTTAGGAGTGAAGTTCTTTTATTTATTTATTTATTTATTTATTTATTTAATGAAACGCCATGAGGTACAGTTATAGACTTACAAATTTTTTTTTGCTTGGGTTTCAGTTATAAATTGAGCAAGTACCCATCCCTCCACCAGCGCCCATCATCCACCACCAAGGGTCCCAGCATCCCTCCCACTCCCATCCCCCCCATCCCACCCTGCCTCTGTGGCAGGGCATTTCCTTTTCTTCTCTCTATCTCCTTTTGCATCCTGTGGTTTGCAAGAGAGGCAATCATGTTTGGTCTATAGTCTACTTTCAGCATGCTTCTCCCATCATGGGAGGATCCTCCCAACACCCTTTATTTGGTGCTCCCTTCTCTATCTGAGCTTTCTTTTCCCCTAGCACATGTGGCTGGCCTCCAAGTCATGGGGCAAAATTCCTGGTACTGATCTCGGCCACTCCTGGGTGTTAGTCTCCCATTTTGTTACTTTATGTTACCCAGATGAATTAGGAGTGAAGTTCTTTTTGATGTGCAGATCACTTGATCATTACATGATGATCATCTTTATTCTTTCCTCATAGACTTTCTAATTTTAAAATCTATTTTGGCTGAACCCAGACACGTCGCCCGCCGAGCGAGCCCCGCTGGAGGAGAGCCCGGACCCCAGGCCCCAGCGTGCGTCCAGATCCGGACTGGCGCGCACAGTAGCCGACCGTCCCCCCCCCCATCCAGGTGGGTTGGAGGACCCCAGCGGAGCCCCGCCCCTGGACCCAGATGCGCCGCCCGCCGAGCGAGCCCCGCCAGAGGAGAGCGCGGATCCCAGGATCCTGGGAGGGAGTGGCCTGGGATTGTCTAGGGGCGTGGCCTCTAAGAAGGGGGCGTGGCCTCCTAAAAGTGGCGTGGCCTGCTTCCGGGCGGGCGGTCGATTACGCGGCCGCAGGTATATCACTCACTCCAAGCAACTTGGACCTTCGTCCTTTCATCCTTTTCATCAACTTGTTACCTAATACCAACCAAAATTTCTCACCTCTTCTACTACAATTCAACAAAATCCCACTCGCCTGCTCCATTTCCAACAAAAGTTCTGTTTTAAAATAGCTATACAAGCTCAGTAGTAAATAGTAACTCCTTCAAAAGTTTCACTCAATGTCAGTTATAAAACAGAATAACGCCTGATTGAGAAGAAGGTCAGACTCAGAAAGGTAGAAGAGGCGCATCTAGCAGCAACAAAGCTGAACGGCTCCTGGCAGTCTCCCCTCACTCAACTAGAACAGTAGCAGCAAGTGTGAAGGACCAAACCACACTGGTCACAATGGTAAAGCAACGCAAAAGCCCACCAAACTTTATTATTCACGAGGCTAGCCCAGACGACACCAACAGTACTATAGCGTTAGACAACCTATCTGACAAGGAATTCAGAATGGAGCTACTCAGGATGATTAGGGAACTAAAAGAAACAATGGAAACCAATGCCAATAAAAGACAAGAGGATTTGAAGGCAGAAATGAGGAAAATGCAATTGGAAATGTCAGACCTGAAAAATCTGGTAGCCGAATTGAAAACCACAGTGGAAGGCCTCAGCAGCAGAGTAACAGCGGCTGAGAACAGAATCAGTAAGCTCGAAGATCAAGTTCAGAGTCTTGTCAGAAAACAGCAGAAAATGGAAAAGAGACTCACAGTTCGAGAACAGATGGCAAGAGAAGATCATGACGAAGCCAAGAGGGGTAACCTAAGAATTATTGGAGTCCCAGAGGGACGGGAAGAAAACCTTGATGAAGAAGAAACTGTCAAAGAAATCATTGCTACAACGTTTCCAGAGCTGAAGAAAACTTGTGACCACATCCAGGAGGCCCGAAGGGGGTACCGGCTAGAAGAAATCCGAATAAAAATACCCCAAGACACATCCTGATCAAAATGACCAAAACTTTAGACAGAGACAAAATTCTGAAAGCAGCAAGATC